GAGCAGTCACCACCAGTTAGTCCCAAACCTGTAGTAGAAAAGACAACCTCTGGCATGTCTAAAAAATCTGTAGAATCTGTAAAACTTGCACAGTTGGAGGAGAATGAAAAATATCCCTCAGTATATATGGAGGCAGAAGCAACAGCTCTGCTCTCAGACACATCTTTGAAAGGTCAGCCTGAGGTACCTGCAGAACCCCTGGAAGCAGAGGGCACTATCAAAATAGGCTCTGAAAAATCTCTGCACTTTGAAGTGGCGATCACTTCAATAGTCTCTGACAATACTGGGCAGGAGGAGTCCGGGGAAAACTCTGCACCCCAGGAGATGGAAGGCAAACCTGTGCTCTCTGGGGAAGCTGCAGAAGCAGTGCACTCAGGTACATCTGTAAAATCATCTAGTGGCCCCTTCCCTTCTGCTCCAGAAGGTCTTACTGCACCAGAAATCGAACCAGAAGGGGAACCAACAGCTGAATAAGGTTTGATGAAGCCAGGTAAGAAAATCAGATATTTACATTACAAATTGCATTTCAGGTAGCCATCTATGTAGGCTCCCTGCAGATTGGTCAGTCTTTATTTTCGGATTTTTTTTTTAAATGTCAAAGCTGTGTAAAGGCTTTGTTGTATCTAAAATTCTAGTACTATGAGACGAGTGATTTTAAAGTGATGTTCCCAAAGCCTGGCCTCAAAGTTTGGTCATCTAGCACTTTTATGTTATTCTTTTGGGTATATTATGTTGTCAGCATCATAACCTCTTGTCAGGTACAAAATATATTCATGTGATCTAAATATGCTGATTGCAAAAAAACTGTAATTAGGGGGTGCTGGTTTGAAATTTTCCTCTTGTGAATGTAAAGCTATAGCAGTGCATTTACATAGGCTGTGGCATTTTAAAAAGTGAAAAAGTGGCGGCGTGTTTGCTTTCGCACTGAGTCAGGAGACCTCTTTAACCAGGTTTGGGGTGCTGGACCATGCGTTTGTTTTCTGCCTGGGGGATTCCTGCAGCTGAGAGAGCAGCTTCATAGCTAGATGGAGAGGGGAAAGGTCAGGGGAGCAGGGAGGTATTAGAAGCACAAAGGATACCCCGGCACTTGAACAGCAATTGATGCATTTCACATAATTGGCTTCCTTTGATCAGTTCCCTCTCCCTGGCAAGTGCCAAAAATCAAGCTGTTTTCTTGGCCACTGAACTATCACCATGTTTTCCTGTGATATAGACATGATGTGACTTTCATCTCTAATTATGGCATTTGGTCTGCTCACCCTCCTGCCTTATGGATAATTGCAGGGGCCCTTCTCTTTTTAGGGATAGAAGGGACATGCATGAGCCAATGTTTTTTCTTTTTGCAAAAACTCTTAACCAAGCCAGAAGGATTCAAAAAGTGTTGGCAAAGCAGGTGTTTAGAAAAGATCACATTTTGTCTGGCAGTGTGACAGGGATTCTGCACAGCTGAAAAGGCAGAGGACAGTGCTGGGAGTGGAGTGTGTGGAACTGGTGCTATATTTGTGGCTTAAGCAGTACTTCCAGACCAAGTCACTGTTTTCAAATGCTTAACTGTTTCTAAAGTATAATAGAGTTGTCCACAATACTAACTAAAGGGATAGTAACCAAAAAATTCAGATTATCAAAACCTCTCTCCTTGTGAAACAACTGAAGATCTGGCTTTTACACTTGCATTATGGATAGATGGCACTCCTAGACCTCTTTCTCTCAACCCAAAGAACCCCTGTGGGACCAACCAGCCTTTCACTGCCACCTAGCACCTATGATTTCAAGTCTTGCCTAAAAGTGGTGCTCTCTGGGGTTCTGAGTCCTAGATTATGTGATTTTGTATGTGTGGTAACAAATTAATGGGAGATAATGGTGGCTGTGATAGGGCCAGAGATATTTTGATTATGTGGTGAAGATGATACCTAGTGCTAACTTCTTTAGGAAAGAAAACACTATGCAGATGCATTAACACTTCCTTTAATAGCTTAACACACTCTACACTCAGTTGACTTTTGGGTAAAGCTAAAGGTTGTGTTGACGGTCCAGTTTCCTTTACAAGGATCCTATAGAAGCCATGTCTAAAGTTGAAGAAGTAGCTAGAAATAGCAACTTAGAATGGGTTTGCTTTTTCAGCCACAACTGTAGCGTCCCTCCCACTTGCCACCACAACAACTGTTCTCGTTTTCCCTACTGTAGAGAATCTCTTTCACATTGCCAAACAAAATTATGCAGCCCTCTCTATAGCATGTTTTGTGGTACATATCACTACAGCTGTTTTAATATGTAAAAGAGACTTACAAAGACATTACTATGCATAGTGCCTGATAGACCAAAACTTTAATTTCTGCAAAATTTTTTTTGTAGCAATGGCAGCAAGCGAACCAGAACAGCCACCACCATATTCCAACATGTGGACCCTTTATTGTCTAACTGATAAGAATCAACAAAGTCACTCATCACCGCCACCTGCACCTGGGCCTTTCCCCCAAGCAACCCTCTACATATCTAATCCTAAGGATCCGCAGTTTCTGCAGCATCCACCAACAGTCACTTCTCCAATTTATGTGATGGACGACACAAAGAAGATCAGTGCCCCACCTTTTATCTTAGTAGGCTCAAATGTTCAGAAAGCACAGGAATGGGAACCTCTTCCTGGTCATGCTGTTGTTTCGCGGTCAGGTGTCTTGAAGAGATATGCTGCAGTGCAAGTGCCCATTGCTGTTTCTGCAGATGGGAAATTCCAGAAACATACTCTAAGTCCCCACAATGCTAATCCTCCAAGTGGACAAGATGTCCCCAAGCCAAAAAGCCCTGTTTTTCTTTCTGTTGCTTTCCCAGTAGAAGATGTAGCTAAAAAAAGTTCAGGATCTGGTGACAAATGTGCTCCCTTTGGAAGTTACGGTATTGCTGGGGAGATAACTGTGGCTACTGCTCACAAAGTTCGCAAAGCAGACAGTGAAAACTGGTAGGTACACTTTCCTACCGTAACATCTAGGTAGGAAAAAAAAACATGTTTTGACCTGGAGATTTAGATAGCTAAAAACAATTTAAGATAATATGTAATAAATTGGGGTATACTCTTAATTTCCTGGGGTTACTGTCTAACTAACTTCCTAACCACCAGTTACTAATAAATGCACAGCAGATGCACAGTACCACAATGACTTGCACCAAGGATTTGATGCCCATTAAACTAATGAACTCAGTCGCCTTTGAATACCTAGTCCATTGTCTAACACAGTGGTAGATGCGAAAAGGGGATGGATTTTTAAAACAGGATGATTTAGTTGGCATGTTTAGGGGGGAGCTGGAAAAAACTGAAGAGCAAGGTAGGTAAGAGAGAAGTCTTGATTGATTATGTAACAGAGCACTTAATTCATGTGGTAAGAGACAGTAGATGGACAGGTGAGAAGCAGAGTAAAGAGCTAAGTAACAGCTGAGATTAACTGTGGATGAGACTGCTTGATCACTCACAAGTCATTTTTAAGTTTTTCATTTATACTTAATGCCAAGTCCTATGCTAGCTCTCCTCCCCTATGTGTGGACAGTAGAGTAAGCAAAACATGGAACCTACATCTTAATGGGGGAGACAGTCAGAAAAGTATATTACAACATGTATTATGGAGAAAACAAGGTACTGACACAGGCCTGCCTTTAAGTGTCACTATTAGATAGGGTGTTCAGGCTCAGATACAAACTGACACCCAAGCAGGAGAAGGAGCCAGCTTTGCAGGGTACGTCCAGGTTGTGTCCTAGGGCAGGAAAGAACACGGGGGTTCCAGGGACAGCAAAGCAGGCCACGGTGAGACTGGCTGGGAGGGGATGGGGAGATTGCATAAGATGAAGATTTTGATTGAATGTTCAATGGGAAGCCAGCACAAGTGTTTTAAGCAGAAGAATGACTGATAAAATCAGATTCCTGTTTTTATTAGATCCCTCAGATTGCTATGTAGAAAAAGATTAGCTAGCAGTAAGGGGAAGGTCAACAGAGGAAGTGGGGGAGATGAGTTGAAAGTACAGAAGTGTTATATACCCCTTAGTTACTTAATTTGTGGGAATTTTAAGTTGAACATCTGAGAGATGGACAAAAGCTACATTTCATTCATTAGCAGGCTCAAGGACCAGTTACTATATTTAAGGAAAGACAAACTATCTGAGGGCTACGTGCATGCTTATTTAAACTCTTTATGGACTTCTAGTGGAATTGCCAAAATGACTGTTTTCAGCATGAAATTGCTAGGATATTGTAGTGCAAAAGCCCATAGGTAACTAGTTAAGCTTAGTAACAGGAGGGTAGACCTTGCATTTCTCATCTTCTACTCATTTCACATGTTCAGTTGCATGTTTAACTTTAAACAATTTGCATTATTCCTCACAGATCCAGCAATGACGCTGTTTGAAGGGTCAACATTCAGGGAGGAGTCTGCCACCAAGTGTATCAATAAACTTCATGCAAGCATACAATTTTGTATTGCTTATTTTTGTAATTTACGAGGGCTACAAGCAACCAACCAAACACAAAAGTTCATCTTTTCAGACCTATAAAGCAGTATCATTTTCCAATTTCTATGTATATATACGTTTAAACCATTCCCGCGCTAACAGATCTAGTAATGAATTTTCTAGCCAGGCATTTCCACTTCTGCATTTGGGATTCACACCGAATTAATATGGTAGTGACCAAGTTTAACTGAATGCTAAATACCTACTTACCACTATGTACGCCAGGCACTAGTTATCTCCTTGGCTCTTGGAGCTATGGTACCACAAGGACTTCTTTCTTTGAAAGGACACTTCTAACATATTAAGTGGCAATTTAGTATATTTAAAAGAAACCACAATTTGGGGGAACATTCTAAAGGCTTTATTTAGCATCAGGTAGATTATTTCATTATAACATTTGTTAACTTCAAGACAGCAATTAAAATCATGTACTGGCAGCTATCTAAGGCCCCTGGGAGCAATATCTCAGTCTGGGGTTTGGGTGGATAAATACTGTAAGATTTAAGATTAATGTACCCCAATTAATGGGGCAAAGCTACTATACAGTAGGTCTCCACACACATTTTAAGTACACAGGTACCTTGCAAACTTGAAATGCACAAGACCTCCTTTTATATAGTTTGATACTTACATGAGTGCAACTTAATTTCTCTAGTGGCATTTGCCACTGGAAATGGAAGCATTTAACAAGGTTTATCATTATGTAATGGTGATTAAAATCTGTATTTCTAGGGCATTTTTGTGAATTGCTAGATTTTATACATAGTTCAAATGTAAAATTAAACATTTTAATGATACTGATTGCAGAAAACTGTAAAAGTAAATTCAGAGCTAAGTAAACGAAATACTTTTCCAGTTTAATTCTTTAGAATTATTTTCAAATCAGAAATACCTGTTCTGAATATTCAGGCATCTTTTTTTCTTGGAAGATGGAAGGAATAAAATTGGGAGGATTAGTATGAATAAAAGCCATCTTAATCAATGGAGTCTTCACAAAATGACATAACCTCTACATTTGAGCACATAAACATTGTCTAGGAGGAGAGTTCTAAATATGTCAAAGGTTACATCTAAAACATTCAAGCATGACAGCATAAAAATATTCAAAATAACTTGATTTGGGATTACTATATAGTTCCATAAAGCTAAAGTTACATTTAGGTATAAACCTTCAGTAAATATGGCAACAGCAAACATAAAAAGCATATTCCCCAGCAGTTTTCTTTTACTTCTATATAAAATAGTATTCCAAATAAGTACATTTTGTAGCAAAATTATGCATTTTTCCTAAGACTTTCATCACCATTATCACCTTATACCCTACTTTTGTTGGGTGAAATGCAGTTATGAGTGTTTTTTTCTTTTTAAAGATAAGTAGAAACCAAGGGAAAAAATTTAAAAACATAGGTTTAAGACTTATTTATAGATTAGCCAAACACCCTGACTTGTATCCATTTTAATAAATGTCAGGCAAATTGAAGTAGTTTCTGTCCCAGTAGCTGCCAGAGTAAATCCAGTCCTGTGCTCCATTATAGGGATTAGGACCTTGATGGAACCACCTGTTAAAAGAAAAAGGCCAAGACTTACAGGAGAAATGATTCAAAATCACAGGCTGTTTCTTCACTAGCTTGCAGTATTTTTCTATTGCAGCAGTTCATTCTGTGAGTGAGAGATTTTCAAAGAGATGCTGAAGTGATACTGTTTTTCTGCTTAGGGAACAGGTCTGCAGAATAATAATCCAGAAGAGGTAATGATACCATGCAAAAGGGATATGGATTTCCCACTGGCATCTAAGCTACTTGACAGAAACAGGGTCTTCTAATAGGGTGGTTCGAACACGTATTTGTCTAACTGGTTTATCCTCTAGGCTGGATCTTATTTTCCACAACAAGACATTCTTTTAAGCAGTTAGGAGTAAATTAGGATAAGGAAATTAAAATTTACAGCATACCCACAGCAGTATATAAGGCACCTGGATGCCCTTCAGATTCTTAAAGCTCCATTTCACACAGGAGAAGCTGAATGTCTAAGCAGTTAAATAACTTGCCCAACCTAGTCACTGCTGGCAAATTTAGGTTTAATGTTAAAGACCATGATTTTTCTAATATACCATGCTACACATAATCCAAAAGACATGAATAGACATTTCTGAAAAGAAGACATCCAAATAGCCAAAAGGATATGAGAAGATGTTCAACATCACTAATTATGAGGGAAACGTGAATAAAAACTACAAGATACCATCTTATACCAGTTAGAATGGCTATTATTAAAAAGAAAAAATAACATGCTGGCGAGGATGCAGAAAAAAGCAAGCTCATATACCGGTGGTGAGAATATAAATTAGAACAGCCACTATGGAAAGCAGTATGGAGATTTCTTAAAAAAACTTAACTGCTTTATGATCTGGCATTCCCACTACAGGGTATTCCAGGGAAAGGAATTCAATGTATCAAAGGGATACCTGCATCTCCATGTTTCTGACAGCATGATTCACAGTAACAAAGATAGGGAATCTACCTATGTCCATCAATGATGGATGAATGAATGGATAAAAGTCAGTGGAAATAACTTTTTTTTTCAGGCCTGGAACAAGTCAGCAGGGTCTGTGTTAGGTAGGCCCTTGCTCTGGGGTCACAGTGTCTGGCAACCCTGCCTCGTCTGCACACAGCAGCCTCACACCCCGACTCAGGCACGCACCTCGTCTTCCAGTCCTCTTCTGACTTGGACCTGTTTTTGCGGGCTGCTCTTTGTTTTTCCTCAAGTCGTTTTTTTTCTTCACTAGCTTGATCTAAAATATCATCAATACAAAGCATTAACGCTTTACGCAGAGGATGCCAGTCACAGTATTAAGCACAATAACTTTACAAGAGAACCATCTACATGTATCGGCATCGTTTCCCTTTTATTAAAACATAAATACCGGAGTCAAAAATGAAGCAAAAAATGTAACAGCTACCTGGGCTAGTAAGAGGCAGAGCTGGTATCACAGATGCAGCATCTCTGACCACCTATGCTCTTAACAACCTTGCCTTTGCCAAGAACAACCTGCTTATTCTTAAGGCCAAAAGAACTGTGTTAAAATCCATCAGTGAAAAACTGGGTGTAAAAACTAAATAAATGTGCAATTATTCTAAATTCTTAGTGAGACCTCACAGAGCTCCTTCCGATTCCATTCTTAAGAAATTTAACGGTAGCTCACACCTGTAATCTCAACACTTTGGGAGGCCAAGGTGGGTGGATCACCTGTGGTGAGGAGTTCAAGACCAGCCTGGCCAACATGGAGAAACCCCATCTCTACTAAGAATACAGAAGTTAGCCAGGCATGGTGGTGCCTGTAATCCCAGCTACTTGGGAGGCTGAGGCAAGAGAATCGCTTGAACCCAGGAGGCGGAGGTTGCAGTGAGCTCAGTTCACACCACTGCACTCCAGCCTGGGCGACAAGCAAGTCTGTCTACCACCGCCTCCCCCCACCAAAAAAAAGAAATTTAAGCAGTTTTCCAAAATGCTGTTGCTCACTTTTTCTCCACTGTTGCACTATGACATGTTGGATGTGATGATTCTGTATCATAAGAAGCTGCCTGGTGCAGGCATTCTTGGCCTGCAGACACCAGTAGTCCCTCCCAAGAAGTAACAACCAAAGTCTTCAGACTTTGCTACATGTTTCCTTAGGGAGAAAATGCCCCCTTTTTGAGAACCACTGAGTTGGAAGAAATTTAACAGTATAAGATAAAAATGGGCTGGGTGGGGTGGCTCACACCTGTAATCCCAGCACGTTTCGAGGCTGACATGGGTGGATCACCTGAGGTCAGGAGGTCCAAAACTAGCCTGGCCAGCATGGTGAAACTCCATTTCTACTAAAAATACAAAAATTAGCTGGGCGTGGTGGCATGCGCCTGTAGTCCCAGTTACTCAGGAGGCTGAGGCATGAGAATAGCTTAAACCTAGGAGGCGGAGGCTGCAGTGAGCTAAGATTTCACCACTGCACTCCAGCCTGGGAGACAGAGTGAGAGACTCTATTAAAAAAAAAATTTAAAATTTTTAAATGTTGTAATTGATACCCCATTTACCCTGATGTAATATTACACATTGTATGCCAGTTAACAAAATATCCCACATACTCCGCAAGTATATACACCTACTTATACCCACACACAAAAACATGAAAGTTATAATTAACCAAGGGGAGGCCACACTCTCCTCTGAGGCTGATAAGGTGCTACATAAATTCTGAAGTAGACAGTGACATAATTAGTCAGAATATGCCTCTGGCCATCTCCAGTATATTAAATTCTCAGGGGAGTATTACCGAAATAATATGAGCTAATAAGGTCTGCTCAGATTTCCAAATTTAAAAGTTACTGAATTTAAACTGAACGTTAATTCAAACCATCTCTAAGACAGACTAAAAATGCTAGTACTCCAATGATGCTAACAATCACCAAGAATAAAACAAAGCATCAACCCCCAAGAAATGAGTCTTCACTGGCTG